AAAAAAAAAAACATCTCGTGTTGTTTTTGTTTATCTGATTAAATTGCGTTGCGCGAAGTACTGGATATTTTCGTTTCTCGTCGTAACACGTGAGATGCACTACGGGGAGACGTAAATAGTTGGACGTGAATGTTAAAGAGACGTTTCTCAATGCGCTGTAAACACCGACATTGATTCACCGTTCATTGATCAATCTCTGTACAAATGGCTGATTAATATTTGAACTCAGTCAATTTTTATGACTTTCATTAGTTTCTGGAATCGACATAGCACAGTATGAACATGGCTGGCTACGGTTTGGACGACAGTTCGATTCCCGTTGGGGATTTCTAGCCGCGTTCGCAACGTTGCAAAGCATCTATTACAATCGGTCTGTCTGTCTACGCGAACGCACCAGAACTGTTACGCTGTGCTTGCATTTCCTAACGTCTTCTCATCACTTCGAGATCGGGGTGTAGGTCCGTCCCCGGTGGCCACTGGAGGCTGTGCGAAGCGGATAGACCTGATTTTCATCAAGTGCCTTGGTTAAGAATGCATGGAGCTTTGTTCCATTATCCCCACACACACCTTTAGGGCGTGGCTCGTAACCACGGGTACAAATTTAGTTTGTTTTTTAAACTTCTTTTTGCATTGAATTGATTTTCATAACGCTATTTTCTTCTCTGTGGAAGTATGCTCCGTTACAGTTCACGTCTATAACATCAGATACACAGTTTCCGAAAATGCGTTTTTGTAGGCCAACCTCACTTTCGAAGGGCCCCAACGTATTAGACTCGCGGGTGAAGTGCGTTTAATGAAGATTGAAAAAGAACGGGGACTGCCTGATTTGAGGACCACAGGAAAGGGTGACTCACCAGAAAACCTCGTACAGGAAGTGAAGTGTCCATGAATCCGGGCCACATAAATCGGTTGCTGTCCCCGACACTTCTTCCTTCACTCCATGGGGTGGGAGGGGCTACGCGAGATCAGTAGGCAGGATGAGGTTGTGAGGTACGCTGGCGGCGTCGGTCAGTCCACGATGTACGGTTGGGACGAAACGAAAGGGCAACCACAAGCCTCGTGGAACGAGCTTAGTGGCCTCTACCGCGCCTTCCTCAAGACAGTGACAGTGAGTGAAGTAGATCGTGAAGAGAGACCTGTGTGTTACGTGTGTGTGCCCAGTAACGCCTCGGTAGTAGAGAAGACCATATTAGACTTTGTTCCAATTACTTTCCTTAGCTGCTTCTTTATCCAGACTCCTAAAGGTAATGCCAGTCGTCAGGGTGGTACATTCTGCATTGCTGTATCACTCTTTAGGCATGGCACCTTCGTTTTAGAACAGTGTAAAAATAATGGTTTCTGATAATGATAACATGAAACTCCCACATTTTATCATTCTGTGTCTCATAATAGCCTGCCTGTATTGCAAAGCCACTATATCCGTGTGCATTACACACTTTTGTTTCATGTGGCATTTTAGCATTTTGAAACTGCTGGATTAATGTATATAATTGACTATTGCTTTGAATAACTAAATACGTTCTAAGATTTGATTATGGTAACAGTAGAAAAGATGTGGAAATTTGGCAGAATTCAAGCTCTTGAAAACAGCAGTAATAATCGAAAGTCTTTTTATAATGAAAATTAAATGTTAAATTCGGGAAATGCTTGCTAATATTTAGTTCGTAAAATAAAATCATTGTCTTGTAATTTCACTTGTTGACCTGTATAAACTTGAAACATTCTGTCTCACTCAAAGAGAAGAACGTAAATTTAGGGTGTTTTCATAACAGAGTACTGCAGAGAAATATTTGGACTTACGTGAGATGAATTAACAAGGACTGGAGAGAACATTACCCTATTGGGACTTTCTTATCTTGTCTTCTTCATCTGATACTTTTGGTGTGGTTAAATCAAGAAAAGTGAGATGGGCAGGACATGTAGCACAGAGGGAGGAAATTGGAAGCCTATACCGGTACTGTATAAATTGTTGGGAAGCCTCTTTTGAGATCTGTATGTAGGAATAGTATTAAAATATATTATGGAGAAACAGGGTTTAAAAATCGTTTCGTACTTCTTAAATTGGGAGTCGCGGCCCCCAAGGAGCCGCCAGATATTTAAATATTTAAGAAAAATAAACTAGCTTGTTAAAAAATAGAATACAGTGGTATAGATAAACCAGTATAGAAATTCCCCATCTGTTTTGTTGCGACAGAAGATATTTTGATCGCCTTGCATTATCGGAGTTGCATCATTTTTACATGAAAAGGATTTGGTTTGATTTATTAATATTCAATAAACATGTTTGTTGTATATAATGAATAAATGTCTGTTGCTATCGAGTCCTAACTAGAATTTTTGTTATTGGGTCTGCAAAGCCTTAAAAAAATTTTGATCGGATTTGGGAATCCGCGGA